TAGTATTTTCATCTGAGAGAAGTTCTGTCATTAACCATTTAAACCAGCCATTCCAAGTGAGGTCAGGAAGAGATTTTTAATCAATTAAATTTGGCCTGTTGCCCTGAGGTCCAGGAAATCAAGTTTTCAGTGTAATATAACAAAAAATGAATGCAAAGAATCCATCGAATTCCCAAGTAATCACATACTTTAATCTTATAGTTAGTCTGATTTTCCAATTAAAATTCAGTATTACTGCCAGAACATGCTAATCCTCTCTTACACATACGTTTAGCTTATACACATTAAAATTTAAAAACCCTTCTGTGAATTAGTTCTGCAATGTTAAGGCAAATGATGCCTTTTTTGCTAAGATAGCGTTTAGATTCTTAGGTATTTTTTTTCCTGCTTTCTTTTTAACATGCTATATAGGCAGGGGTCTTCAAACTTGGCCCTTTTATGACTTGTAGACTTCAACTCCCAGAATTCCTTAGCCAGCATGCCTGGCTGAGGAATTCTGGGAGCTGAAGTCCACAAGTCATAAAAGGGCCAAGTTTGAAGACCCCTGCTATAGGTAAGCTGAATGCAGATCTGTGTGATTATCTAGACAGGTCCACTGTAATATATAACAAATGAGTGTGAAAAAAAGCAAAGGAAAGAATTTCAAAAGAGAGAATTTCATTATTTACTGCACTGTAGTAAAAACTGCATTTGAGTAGTTTGTGCTTTTCAGAACGAAAACTTATGCCACTGGCAACAAGTACCTGTCGGTAAACCAACCAATAAATGCCATTTCTGTTAAGAAGTGGAACTACAGTACATTTCCCAAAGATTTCGTTGTGCATTACCTTCTGTGAATCTTACTGTATAATTTATTTGAGATCACGCATGAGGGAATAATGCAGGTAGACAGCTGGCTGAAAAAAATAAGAAGTGGGCTGTTAAAGGAGAGGACTTAGCATTACAAACACAACGTCCTTCACCTGCTTTTTGTTTTGTTGTATTTATTTAGCTCACATAGTAGTCATTACCTGGTACTTATTTTAATTGCAAGCCATATTAAGTGTCTTTCTGGCATACGCTGCCAAAACAAATAAACAAGATTGCTTTTTTAAAAACAGTATTGAGAAGTCTGTATGGAGTGGTGCTTTTTGAGAATGAGATGCGGAACAGGTACAATGTCTAACCATGAGACTGGGGTTATTGTTCTACACACCAGACAAACAATACTGAATGTGAGTGAGAAAAAGGGAGCAGACGATATGGGCGTGATGATTTCACAATGCAAATGCTGAAGTTTGCATATTTGTGTCCCATGATGTCATGACAGAAATGCCTAATTATGTCCATTCGTTTGATGTTCTCACCGTGACATTATTGCAGTGCCTAATTCTGACACCATGGCAGTTTACTATACAGGTAATCCTCGACTTATGACCACAATTGAGCCCAAAATTTATGTTACTGAGTGAAACATTTGTTAAGAGATTTTTGCTTCAATTTACAACCTTTCTTGCCATAGTTGCTAAGTGGATCACTGCAGTTGTTCAGTTAATAACACAGGGGTTATGTGAATCTGGCTTCCCCATTGACTTTGCTTGTCAGGAGCTCAACAAAAGGGGAATCATATGATCCCGGGACATTGCAACCGTCATAAATATGAGTCAGTTGCCAAGTGACTGAATTTTGATCACGTGACCATGGGGATGCTGCAACAGTTGAAGATATGAAAAATGGTCATAACTCCCTCTTTCCAGTACCACTGTAACTTTGAATAGTCATGAAATGAATTGTTGTAAATGAAGGATTACCAGTATATCTCCACAGGAGATGTAGACTCTAGAAAGAGTACAGAGAAGAGCAACAAAGATGATTAGGGGACTGGAGGCTAAAACATATAAGGAACGGCTGCTGGAATTGGGTATGTCTAGTTTAATGAAGAGAAGGATGAGGGGGGACATGATAGCAGTATTCCAATATCTCAGGGGCTGCCACAAAGAAGAGGGAGTCAAGCTATTTTCCAAGGTGCCTGAAGGCAGGACAAGAAGCAACGGGTGGAAACTAATCAAGGAGAGAAGCAATTCAGAACTAAGGAGAAACTTCCTGACGGTTAGAACAATTAACCAGTGGAACAACCTGCCTCCAGAGGCGGTGAATGCTCCAACACTGGAAGTTTTTAAGAAGAGACTGGACAGCCATTTTCTGAAATGGTATAGGGTTTCCTGCCTGAGCAGGGGGTTGGACTAGATGACCTCCAAGGTCCCTTCCAACTTTATTATTATTATTGTTATTGAGGTTGCAATATCATGAATGAAATCATAAATCCATTTAACCAATACTGTTGATAGTGACAAGAAACACTTTTTAGTATTTCAAATTATTTTTCCCAACTTTTCCTTGAGGTGTTAGAAGATAGAGGACCACCAGCATGCAAAGTATGTGCTGCAGCCATTTACCACAGCTTGACTCATACAAAGAATGAAAATTTGAATGAATGAATGAATGAATGACAAATGAGGAGAATGCCTTCCAAGTAAAGATAGTTATCAGGGAATATCCAGATATGACACATTTGAAGATGCAGCTTCCTAAAAAAAACATATGTTCCACAAACAGAACAACAAATTTATAGCATAAAGCTGCTTCCCCCCCTTTTTTTAATTTTAAATCAGCATTTTAGAAAGAGACACCAATCGCTTGAGCTCAGGGAATATGTTTATTCTGGTACTCCCGGGCAGAGGAAGACTGAAATCTCTGAAGTGTGAAATAAGATTTTTGTAACTAAGGAAAAACAGCACTGGCTCTTCCCAAATTTCCTTTAATACTACCACGAATAGCTCCGTCTCATGGCTTCTGCGTATTAAAACTTCAGTCTTTAATAGTTTCATAGATGAATAAGGAGGCTGGTTGCTGAAATAATAAAGAAATTTTAATAACTCTCCAGCCCCAGACAGAGTGAATGCCCTTCATTGGGGTGAATGCCCTTATTTATCACAGAAGGCAGCTTGCTACATAGCTAAGCAGGATGGTTTCTGTCTGAAAACACTACGGAGCGCTACTTTATGCATATTCCTGATGCAAGAGATGGAGAGAAGGAGGGAGAAACACACACATACACACACAGACACATATCTGTTTCTCTTCCACTGGATAAAATAGAATAGAATAGAATAGAATAGAATAGAATAGAATAGAATAGAATAGAATAGAATGGAATGGAATGGAATGGAACGGAACGGAACGGAACGGAACGGAATAGAATAGAGCTGGAAGGGACCTTGGAGGTCATCTAGTCCAACCCCCTGCTCAGGCAGGAAACCCTATACCATTTCAGACAAATGGCTGTCCAGTGTGTTCTTAAAAACTTCCAGTGTTGGAGCATTCACAGCTTCTGGAGGCAGGTTGTTCCACTGGTTAATTGTTCTGACTGTCAGGAAATTTCTCCTTAGTTCTAGATTGTTCTCTCCTTGGTTAGTTTCCATCCATTGCTTCTTGTCCTGCCTTCATGATAACTTCATTATAACATGTTGTTATCATTATCATTTTAGCCATTGTCTATCCACTGCGGGATGAAGGCCTCTTCCTTGTGTTTCCAACCAATACAGTCCTGAGCCAGAAACATTTATGCATGTGAATATGCTGAGAAAAGGCAAATGGAAGGATAAACGTTGGCATCACTTTAAGACAAAAAGAAAGAAAAAGATGGAAAGATACAAAACACCTTCCTCTTCCCCTGTCAGTAAAATACAGCACAAAAGAGGGAAATCCATTTTCATTTTATTTTTACTTATTTATATGCCACTCACAGAAATGTGGCTCCTTGCATTTGTGTGTTTGGAGAGTGTAGATAATCATTCCTTCCAAAACATTGGAACCCTTTTGGGGCTTAGAAACACTGTTGGAAAACTAAAAGTTGGCACTATATAGTTGGCACCATTTAGCTCCCCTCCCCCTTAATTTTAAACATCTTTCAAAGAACAACAATTTGACAATGTTGTGCTTCAAGAGTCAGGTAGTTCACTGCTGAGACATGGTTCCAGAGACAAGCTTTCCCAACACACATTGTTCTTGCAGAAACCGCAACTTGTGCCGTGTTTTTAAAATGACATAAATGCATCAGGCCAAAATGTTGCCTATTATGAGCCCTCAAAGGCATTGAATATCGAAGTAGAAGCAGGCCCTGGATAATGGTTCCAGGAATTGGGTATGTCTAGTTTAATGAAAAGAAGGACTAAGGGCTATTCTGCAAATCACCTGAAGTCAGGACAAGAAGTAATGGAAGGAAGCTAATCAGGAAACGAACCAACCTAGAACTAAGGAGAAATTTCCTGATAGTTAGAACAATTAATCAGTGGAACTGCTTGCCTCCAGAAGTTGTGGGTGCTCCAACAATTGAGTTTTTTAAAGAAGAGATTGGACAACCATTTGTCTGAAATGATATAGAGTCTCCTGCTTAAGCAGGGTGTTGGACTAGAAGACCTCCGAGGTCCTTTCCAACTCCATTATTTTGTTAAGCAGCTTTTCCCAAACTATAGTAAGGATGATTTAAAAGAAAAGGTGTTACCACGTAAGTCATATTGAACTGTGATTTGATTCTTTGAACTCTCATTTCAAATGGCTGCTTTTCAGTATGGTATTTTCAGTGCTGCTTCTCTATGTATTCATGTTCTCTCTCTCTCTCTCTCTCTCTCTCTCTCTCTCTCTCTCTCTCTCTCTCTGGGTTTGGGTGTGTTGTGTGTGTGTCTGTGTGTGTGAGAGAGAGAGAGAGAGAGAGAAATTTGCATGCCTCTGTGGGCCCTGCAGTGTCCCAGACAAACTGTATCATTAGCTAAACTAAATGAAGCAATTGGAATCTGTGGCCACTGGGACCTTATTATATCAGAAAACAAATGGAAAACATTAATAGGTTTCTCCCAAAACTTACTTTGATTGTGCTGACAACTGGAGAATTTTGAAGCAAAATGTTTCTTTTTCTTGTGTGGGATTCCTGTTGTCTAGATCTGTGATTTTTGCATAAATAGGGTTTTCTTTCGTTTTTTTACCGCTACCAAATTCCCCCGCGTTTTCATGGGCTAGTGAACACATTAGAATTTGAGAACATGTCAAGGACACTCTGGGGAGAATGGCTGCTGGCATTTGGCATTGCCTTTTACAAAATAGCTCCAGCGGTCTATGTTGGTCTGAAGATCACAGAAAGCAAGGATTAACTCTTCAAATAAATAACATTAAACTTAAAAGAATACTTTCTCACTATTGTTCTTTCTTCCCTTATGGTTGTAGGGTATGTGTTGTCTAACAAATGGAAGGACTAGGGGTGACATGGTAGCAGCCTTCCAATATTTGTGGGGCTGCCACAGAGAAGAGGGGGTTGTCCTATTCTATAAAGCACCTGAAGGCAGGCCAAGAAGCAATGGATGGAAGCTTACACAACCTAGAATTAAAGAGAAATTTCCTGTCAGTAAGAATAATTAATTAGCGGAACGGCTTGCCTCCAGAAGTTATGAGCGCTCCATTACTGGAGGTTTTTAAGAAGAGATTGGACTGGAATGGTATAAGGTCTCCTGCTCAAGCAAGGGTTGAGTAGCAGACCTCAAGGTCCCTTCCCAACTGTTCTATTCTACATTCCATGTGCATGTATATTATGGAAAGCACTCTCTACCTGGTGATTTCTAGATGCATTGAACTTCCATAAGTGTAAACTGGGTCTATGACAGTGGTGGCAAACCTATGGCACGGGTGCCAGAGGCAGCACTCAGAGCCCTCTCTGTGGGCACGCGCGCCATCGCCCCAGTCCTAGGCCTTCAGCTGGGTTTTATAAAACCTTTTGCTTTAGGCCTCCGCCATGGTGTGCAAAAAAAAAAAAGGTTCAATCAATGAGTCAATTTCAACTTCTCGCAGGAAAAAAAAAGAATTTGCAAAGTTGGAATTGATTGATTGAACTTTTTAGTCCCACCCAATCTGCCGTTACCACCGCAGCCACGCCCACCCAATTGGCCACACTCACCCGGCACCCGACAATGCATAAGTGGGTTTGGGGTTGCAGTTTGGGCACTCAGTCTCTAAAAGGTTCGCCATCACTGGTCTATGACAACTCGCCGTAGTCAACTCGCTGCAGCCCACTTGCCACATGGACAACTTGTTACAGGACAATTTGCCATGGGACAAGAATGACACTAATATTGAAGAAATAGTGGAATAGAATCATTAAAGAAAGGAAGCCAAAAGGGGGAGGGGGCAAAATGAAACGTGAATGAAAAAAAATAAAATATTTTTAATTATTTTAAATAACTACATTGAACTGTTGAATTGTTCCATGTTGAGTTGGCCGTGGCAAGTTGACCGTGGTGAGTTGTCCTACGGCAAATTGGCAGTGGTGAGTTGACCATGACAAGTTGGCTGCAGTGAATTGTCCCATTCTGAGCCTAAACCAGGGGTAGGCAACCTTGGCTCTTTTATGACTTGTGGACTTCAACTCCCAGAATTCCTGAGCCAGCCATAAAAGAGCCAAGGTTGCCTACTGCTGGCCTAAACCAACAGTTTTCAGAAATATTGGGAGATATAATCCAATACACTAGAATATCTCGGATTGAGAAGAATATTGCCCTGGTTTGAAATATGGTATCACAAGGGTTAGGATTGTACGGTGTTTTGGGCTTGCTTCAAAATAAATTGGAAGGTTGTGCACAGAATCCTTTCTCAGCTTTAAGAATCCTGATTTCTATGCGCACCTTCCTGATCAAATCAGAAGCAATGCACAGAAGCAATCGTTATTCCTATTGGCAATCGTTTCTCAGGCCAAAGTGGTGAAATATGAATGAGAATACAACATTTTAGGAAATGAACATGAAAAGCAGCCAGAGCTTTCATCACACTGTTGCAGTTGCCGTCTTGATGTTGTTGTTGTTTTAACCGTATCCTGTGGACATTCCTGCTCTATTGACAAGTTAGCAATTCTCTAATAATCGGCTAAGAAGCTACGTATTTAGATCATTTGATTCCCTGTGGGTTTTTATTTTTTCCTTGTTATCTGCACAGAGTCAAAAGTTTGAAATGAGGGGCCATCGAAATTAAATAAATAAATAAATAAATAAATAAATAAATAAATAAATAAATAAATAAACGAACGAACGAACGAACGAACGAACGAACGAACGAACGAACGAACGAACGAACGAACGAACGAACGAACGAACATTTGTTATTCAGGCAACCTGATGAATGTTTAGGGTTTTGAAAAGTAGAGATGATTGCAATTTGTCATATTTCTTTCTCTTGATTTTCAAAGTGATTGTTTCAGTTGATATGTCTGTAATATTATTTATTTATTTAATTAATTTCTATAGCCACCTATCTCAAAAAGTGACTCTGAATGGTCACAGTTGTTAAGTGAATCCGGCTTCCCAGAAGGTCGCAAAAGCAGATCACATGACTCCAGGACATGGCGACCATCATAAATATGAACCAGGTGCCAAAGCATCTGCATTTTGATCACATGACCCTGGGGATGCTGCAACAGTCATAAGTGTGAAAAAAGGTCATAAGTCACTTTTTCAGTGCCACTGAAACTTTGAACGGTCACTGAATGAACTGTTATAAGCCGAGGACCGCCTGTAGTGAGATACGCATATCCAAAACAGGAAGTGGGGCCAAATGGGGTTCTGGAGAAAGAAAAAGAACATTGAGACTCCCCCCCCCCACCTAATTCTAGGAATTGAGGTGGAGTTTCACTATAGTATCATATCCCAAAATGTGGAGAAAACCTCATATTGTTTTAAGTCAGGGGTCTTCAAACTTGGCCTTTTTATGACTTGTGGACTTCAACTCCCAGAATTCCTCAGCCAGGCACACAGGCTGAGGAATTCTGGGAGTTGAAGTCCACAAGTCATAAAAGGGCCAAGTTTGAAGACTCCTGTTTTATGTCAACAATGTTAAGAACAGGTATTTACCATCAGATACCTGAGATGTCAATCCCTCAGTTCAAGGCTAGTTTATGAGAACCTGGCATACCACACTGACAGAAAATATGCAGAACCACCACCAAATACCAGAGGTATTATCAGAAGTAGATATCTAGAAATGTCCTTTTTATTTTCTACATTAATAGAAATTGTAGTAGTAGTGATTTTATAATACTGACACTGACACCCTCCGACATCCCACTGAAGAGGTTATCCATTGACTTTGCTTATTAGAAGGTCGCAAAAGGTGATGACATGACCTCAGGATGCTGCAACCGTCATAAATACATGCCAGTTGCCAAGCATCTGAGTTTTGATCACATGACCATGGGGATGCTGCAATGGTCATACTGTAGGTGTGAAAATTGGTCATAAGTCACCTTTTTCAATGCCCTTGTAACTTCAAATGGACACTAAACAAATAGTTATAAGTTGAGGACTACCTGTACATCATAAAATAGTTATTAGTTTTGCTTCATTTATATGCTGTCTTTTCTATGGGAAATTAAGGAATAGAATAGAGTAGAGTAGAGTAGAGTAGAGTAGAGTAGAGTAGAGTAGAGTAGAATAGAATAGAATAGAATAGAATAGAATAGAATAGAATAGAATAGAGCTGGAAGGGACCTTGGAGGTCTTCTAATCCAGCCCCCTGCTCAAGCAGGAGGACCTATACCATTTCAGACAAGTGACTGTCTAGCCTCTTCTTTAAAAATCTCCAGTGATGGAGTGCCCATGATTTCTGGGGGTAAGCTGTTCCTCTGGTTGATTGTCCTCACTGTCAGGAAGTTTCTCCTTAATTCCAGGTTGACATGCATAACATTTGTCCTCTCATATCTTCCCCAGAATAACGTGTTTGGCTGAGTTAAGAGATAATGTTGGCCCAAAGTCATTTAGAAAGCTCTACAGTTGAATGGGGTCTTTCCCTCAATTCTCCTCATTCAGTTCTAGCACCTTAAGTACTACACTACATTTTCAAGAGGCATAAGAATATAATGAGATTATTCAGGTGATTTTTTTTCCATAAAACAATTTAATAGTAATAATAATAATAATAATAATAATAATAATAATAATAATAATAATAATAATAATAATAATAATAATAATAATAATAATAATAAAGTTGGAAGGGACCTTGGAGGTTTTTAATCCATGCTATTTAATCCATGCTATTTCAAGTGGTGAGGATGAATTATAACTTCGCTGTTTATAATTTAGCAATATTTGGCCATTATATATGAAAGACTTTACCAATATTAATCAACTCTTTTTCAACTGATTGACTGACTAATCAGTATTTTTTGCGTTTATATTACCAAACTTTGAATAAACAAAATATAGAATAAATTATAATTCAACAACAATCACCCTTGTTTCTTTTCTTTTTGCACTTTTTTTTTGTTAAGCAATGTAGCAGATTTTTTTTAAAAAAATAATCTCTATATTCCTGAGATGTTTTTCTTGCTATATGAGGGTATATCATTGCAGTTTCATTATACAGGCAGTCTTCAACTTATGGCCCCATTTGGGACTGGATTTCCAGTCATAAATCATTACAGTTGCAAGCTGAGTCATCCACGTAACCGGATCCAATTTTATGACATTTCATGTGGAGGTGGTTAAGCAAATCATTATGACAGTTCAGTGAATCTGCACTGAATTAAACAAACACCACAGTCGTAAGTCCGAACACATTCATCTGAATGGATTTTTTTTTGCCAGACACTGGCAAAAAAAAATCCACAAATTGTGGTCATGAGACCATGGGACATTGCAAATTGTTGTAAAGGCAAACCAGTTGCCAGGTAACAGGCGAAATTCAGTCACGTGACTACAGGGGTGGGCATGGCAGAGAATGGCACGTTATTTTACAAAAATGCTTTATAAAGCACCTGTTCTCAGCCCATCATAATTTCAAATGGCTATTAAGTATGTTGTTGCTGTTGTTGCTATTATTGTTATTGTTATTAAAAATAAAGAGGAAAACAATAATTCAAAACTCTAGCCATGATCAATATTAGCATCAGCATTTAAAATAGCCTCTTGCTTGTTAAGCAAATCATTATATCCATCCATTAGTCTAATTAAAGTTTGAGCCTTAATCACATGTAGTATATGAATACTTTAATTTTTCATTTGAAAGATTGTCATCATTCTTACTAAAAGTAGGGACAGCTTTTGTCTGAAAGATGGGGATTAATTAATTTCCCTTCCCATGTCTGAGTGCTAATATTTATCTTCAATCATAT